CCACAGACTCTTGTTTTGTATTGTTGTAACCAGTCTTCCGTACGTAAATATTTTGTGTAAAATTAATAAATTGAGTCAGACAAAAACTCTTTACAAAGTAAGATTGTGTTACGGAGTCTAACTAAATGCGAGCTGTGACTTAGATTGAACTTTGAACCGTTTACCAAATATTTCTTTCATATGTGTTTCTAGATTTTTTTATGTAAGCATAAATCAAAAAAAACGTCGAATATTTATTAAAGAAAACAATCCAAATTTCTTACACTTCGACTTTTTGATTTTAAAATTCTATGTATAACCCTTTTACATGACTATATATGTATAGAACTGAAATAGGTTAGACCCAAAAACCCAGAATATTAGTTTGTCAAAAAATTTATCAGTTTTTTTCTTAATGTATTTTTTATCGTAGTCCAATCCTATGACTCAAAGAATTAAATTTAGCAAGTGAAGATATGTTTCGTTATGTGTGGAAAAAAGAAGACGTACACGCGTCCTTTAAGAGATCGCAGACACTCTAAACACCCTAGACCGAAAAGTGGATGATGTAGTTCTCTTCATTTTGTAAGGTAGTCATTTGATATCATGAAGTAATTTTAGCTTGTGAGTCAAGGTTGAATAAAATACCGCTCACTACTCAGGAGAGAAAACAACCACAATGGACTCAAAGAAGACCCTCGTGCCAACGTCGGAGGTGATGGACACGCACTTCCTATTGGCCGACAATGTTTACTGCAAGGCTTCAGTGCCGCCCACCGATAAAGTGTGCCTATGGTTAGGGGTAAGTACCGCTTTAGATTAGAGTCAGTTGTATTTCATGATGTGTGGTCTGAGACCCTGCATGAGAGCTGTTTTACTGAGACATAGGAGAGGTGAAGTCGGAGAACGCCATAACTGAAATCCTCTCTTCATCTTTCACTCCGTCCCACCCCGACATTTCCCTCCGAAGGCTAACGTGATGCTAGAGTACGACATCGATGAAGCCCAGGCTCTGCTGGAGAAGAACTTGTCCACGGCGTCTCGTAACTGCGAGACACTCGAGGACGATCTGGACTTCCTGCGAGACCAGTTCACCACCACCGAAGTCAGTATCCTTCCACAATGTAGTCCACTCAGGTTGGGCTTACCGCAGATTCTAAGTTCTGTGGAGGTGTTGCTTTTACAGGTATTTTTCAACACAAACTCATGTTTTAATATTGTTTTCCATAAAGGTGGGTGTTTGCATTTGTGTTGAAATGGTGCATTGTTGAGGAGCATTTGATTTAGAGAATGGTGACATCTGCTGGCTAAACTTCAATGATGTGTGTATGGATGGATACAATCAGTTGGTAAGGGGGTCTCGCTACTGTCCTTATATTTTGGTAAAAACACACATACATACTTCAAAGGTTCCAGAAGCATTAAGCCTCATGAAGGTTAAACATATATTATATCTCAATTGAGTCAGGTACCCACATGTACACACTACACTGCTAGATACTTGAGGTAAGGGAACCCATATCAGTTTTAATGAACTGAACCTTTTAAAGATGTTTTTAAATTTGTCTTAAATATCAGCCCATTTCCAAGAGTCAATTAATGAATGCCAGAGGGAATAACCATCACCATTTTCTCAAACAATGTCAATGTTAAAATGTATAAAAACAGCCAATCCTCTCATTTCAATGACCTGGAACCAGTTGTTATTTTCTGAAACATTTCTGGTGGTTTTATTATCTTTGATCAATGCATCTCATTAAAGGTGGGGTAAGTCATTTTGGAGAAAGCAGCTCGAGTGCGCTGGAATTTGAAAATACACAGCAGGAAAAAATCTGCCACTTCCTTACAGAGCCCCTCCTCCAACACACACGAACGCGCACATGACCAATGAGGGCACGAGATAAGTTTGTGCACAGATGGAAGGCTGACAGGCAGGTAGGCCATCCAGTTACTTTAGCCGGGCCGGCTCAGATGATTGGTCGTGCTTTTTACAGCGCTAAGGCTTCCACAGATGAATTTTTTTTATGGATTTTTTGTCAAAGCACTTCAGATATTCTTTGCTATCGGGATGTTAAGAGCATTCCATGGAATATAACAAACA